CATGACTTGTCCCACTTTGCCCTTCATTTTGTTTTGATCCTTCTTTACCAGATAGAGAACATGTGCACATTGGCAACGGTATAATATTAATCGTCCATCGTATTGAACTCTCTTTGATCGTTGATTTTCGGTGAATCTCAAATTGCTCACCAGCGTCACTGTGTCCCTAGCATATCGAATAGTTCGACTTGGGAGCCGCTCCGTAAATATGCACTGCACCCATGTTCCATATGATTGCAGTTAAATACGGCATTGTCTCTCAGGTCCTTTGTTCGAATTGCAGTCCGAAATTATGCTCATTCACTTCTCCCATTGACTAATATTCAAAGAAGCTGGTTTCTTGTATTGATGTCTCCCTGATTCCGTCCCCTTTGTGACAGATTCAACTCGGACCCGTCGATCGATNACTTGACCGGTGCCGATACAGTCATATTCGTGGAACATGACTGGAACCCGAGCAAGGACTTGCAGGTTGGTTTTCCTCTCCCTCACATGCACTTCGTGATACTGCTCCCAGTAGGTATTGGAACCCTAACCAAGTGACTGGGTCATTAAGGTCTGGTTAGGCCCCCTGGCTGGGGACCTCAAGATCATTGTAATCTATGGTCAGAAACACTAAGTGATATGACACTACCGTAAACAGTGGCATCCATACATCTTCTCTTCTACTGAAATGCTCCATTTTCTCTTCGACTCCACTTCCCTATCTTTCTTCACCCTTTCATCCAAATGGACAGCCAACGACAGCAACCAAAACCGCCGCACGAAAGTGCACGGTTGAGCAAGCTCAAGCTGTAACTCAGTGGGTCAGCGCAGTACGTCATTATTCATCGCCGCTACAATCTAAGCACATGTCACAGACCTTGCCTCTTCCTGTATAAAGAAAATAAAAGCGATCTGTGCGATAGTGATCACTAGGACTACCTCGTTCTAACACAACTTATCAACTCCTCACCAGGACATTTGTCTCGCATTGTCGGACATCCTCATCATTCGAAACTGCTGAGTACAGAAAATCGGTAGCAATCAACCAAGTGTCAAACTGTAACAGAAATTCCCTTTTGCATCACCTAAAAAGACGAGTACACACTTCGCTCTGCCAAACTAGCATAACAATATACACTAGAACTCTTGTTTTTGCTGCTGTTGCATCCCAAAGGTTCGTTAAATCATACTGTAGGCGAAAAAGCAAGTCAAAGAATAGGAAGAACGAAGCGAATATCGGTGCATTGGTCATCGATCGCATCCTTTTCTTCTTATATATGCCGGTTACCCACCAAACTACACCAGCATTACAGTTTAAGTTTATACAACCGTTAGTCGTACAGTTTTGTGCAAGTTTTTGTTGCTGTCTTTCGGCCACCAGTTTGGATGAGGTAGAGGGTAAAACTAGAAAGCTAGGAGCAATGTGAATGAGAAAATAGATGATTCAGACAGATTAAGATTGCAAGAATATTCAGTGGATACACAAGTGCTACTGTTCACTCTCTCCCTATTGAACGATGACACTGATTCCTGGATCCACATCTAGGAAGCCCAATGCAATCTGTGGCTCCGTTGTTACATCCGACGGTGTGTGAAGGATCGAGTGAATGCTGCAACAGTTCAGCCAGTCGTGCTATACGGTGCAGAGACTTGGCCATTAAGGCAACAGGATAAAGAAAGACTATCGGTGTTCGAACAGCACTGTTTAATCCGTATTGCAGTAGTCTGGTGGGGAACTCAGACAACCAATACTGAGGTCAGACGCAGTCGCGATCACTTATAGATTACACTGCTTGAGGCATGTCACCAAATAGATTACCACTGTGTGCATTTTTTTTCCGAGGTAGGTATTCAATGAAAAAACGTCTAGGGCGATCAGGCTAAGACCTTGCATAAGGGTATAAAAACCCTAACCAGAAAACTCAGCCATATAGATCACGTTCGACTCTCTGGATTTGGACCTCGGCATCATCGTAAGCGGTGGTTAGAGAAACTGACTGATATGGCTACGTCGCACACTACCAGATTGGTCAACAAGCTGTCTTAGCTAGAGCCCTTGAAACCTTCCATTTAAACGTATGCTGCCTCCGAAACACGCATATAAGATCTTACTTCAATCCCCTCCCTGCGTTCTCCTGATCCAACCTCATCCTCACGCTTCACCCTCCATGTGTCAGGCGATTCGGCATCCGAAATTCGCGATGTTGGGATTGCGCTAAGTGTCAAGGCCGAGCGTTCACTTCTCGGCTGGATCCCGGTTGGCAGCCGACTTTGCGCTGTATGTCTGAATGGTTTAGTACGGATCTACAGTTATAGAACGAAGCGTCGATGCTTACTCATCGTATCCGTGCATGCACCAACTGATTGCAGTTCGCCAGAAATGAAGGATGAATTCTACAAGGACCTATCAACTGCTCCAAAGTGCTCGGTCAACGGACATCGTGGTCGCTGGAGACTTTAATGCGCAAGTGGGATCCCTGGACGAATCAGAAAGGCTACTTGGTGGTTCACATTCGGTCCCAGCCAACCCGACTGACAACGGAGAACGCCTACTCCAACTTTGCGCTGAACACGGACTGTTTCTGTCTAGCACGAACTTCTCACACAAGAAATGACACCGACTGACATGGAGACCGCCAACCGCTTCTCAGCGCTGGACTCAAATCGACCATCAATCACCGCTGGCGAGGATCCATTAAAAACTGCCGCTCCTACTGGTCAACACTCGTGGATACGGACCATGCTCTGCTACGCCTAGTACACATCCGCCGAAAACGGATGCCTAAAAGACAGTATCAGCAACCGTTACAAATCGGCCTTCGAGGTGGAACTGTCAGATCGCCTCTCAGCTCCACATTGGGCGACCAACAGACGGCAACCAAAACCGGCGCGCACGAAAGTGTACGGTTAATAGTTGTAAAAACTGAACTGAAAATCAGAATTAGTGATGCTCGTACAGTCAGTCCAGATGAATTCTTCACTTTTTTTGATGCAAATCTCCAATCTTCCCTGCTTTTCATCAAATTGGGAAGCCTAAAATTAACCGCACAAAGGTGCATGCGTAATGGTTGCACAAACTGAATGGGACTTATATGACCGAGTCTCGTTGTCAGTGTTTCCATAACCTCATGCTCATTTCCAGTTCGGCTGCTTAACGTAATCTACAAAGGTCGAGCACTCGCTCCAGTGAGCGTCTGAGATCACTTATATCCTGGTGCTTAACCTCAGCATGGCTTGTCTCATGCAGTCTTCGAACACCGATTGTCTGCTGTGTCCCGTTCCCGTCATAGCCAAGTGTGTGGATCATTGAGCGAAATACCGAAGTGCATACTTGACTGTTCAGAGACAAGTGGATGACGCCAAGGTGCCACTGATTTCTCAAGTCGACAAAAGCCAAATACAGCTCTTGATGTGCCCTGAAACTTCCGACAACACCCTATGTTCAAGTCTGTTCGATGACGAGGGCCACGCAGAATCACACCGTTCGTCAAGGTTGTGACCAACGTAAGAGATATGTTAACATCTACGTGATGTGCTGAACCAAGGTCACATTTAGAACCACTGCGCAACGACCGGTCACGATGTCAAAAGTGACGAACATGTGAACTAGGAGGAACAGTAACGTCTGATTATTGAGGCTCCACATTCGATCGGTACCTCGAACTCAATCATCAACATGTGCTGCACGGCCTGATTTGGAAATGACGTTCAAAACGGCAGATCACTTATTTGCAATCGCGCGGAGAACGATGGACGCTCACCCCTACCGTGCAAGTTCAAAAGAGTCATCTGTCACATGAATGCAACGGGTGGGCAGAAGCTACTTGGGTCTTAGTGTCATCTGGGGGTATTTCTAGAAGCGGTCGAGATGAGGCCAATGCAACGATTGGCATGAAAGGTCCATGGTTCTGAGTGAGTGCTTAAAACCTAACGTATTTTAAATCTGAAAATAACCTTCCTATTCACTGAAATACAGTAATATAATCAGATTTCAGGAGAATACCGCTTGGAATCTTACGTGAACATTGGGTTCGGAGCAACTAACTATTAGAGGTTTACCGCTTTCCCAGAGCAATGCAGATTATATAACTGAACTCTTATTTTTCAGTGGTGGAATGATAATGGTGTTTCCGTACGGTTTCACAACACCTATAAACTATTTTTCTTTCTAATTCCCCACCAGGCCATGGATCGCGTGCATCGTATTGGTCAACGGCGCACGGTTAACGTGTACCGTTTGATCACACAGGACAGCATTGAAGAGCAAATAATGAACCTTCAGGCATTTAAATTGCACCTGGCCAACACGGTGGTGTCCACAGACAATCGTCATCTTAGCGGTATGGACACCGGACATTTGTTTGACCGATTCACCACTGCCTCTCGGTCGTCGACTGGTGACCACCAAGACCGCCCTACGGGAAGTGATGTAAACACACTCGACTCACTTGAGGAATGCTATGAAACCGAATATAATCTGGACGCGTTTGTGGCTCGTCTGAAATAACTCATCGAGCATTGTGTACTGGTTTCGTCACACCTGCCACCTGAGAACATCACGATAACTACTACCAGTTCATTCAGGCAGCCATGTTTTTATCCAGTCGCCCGTTCTCTCATTCTATTCCAACCCCTAGCCCCTTGTTCCCTCGATTGCTCATATTATCCTGAGTTTTTGTTGTCGTTTTCGTGTAGACGTGTTGTGTTGCGTTCGTATTCACTCGTTTATTCCACCATTTTCCCATTGTCTGTCTATTTCCTCCAACCCTTTTGGATATTCGATGCATTGCCGTGTATTGGAGAACTGTTCGAACGAGTTCTTCACAGCTTTTTGTAACTTTCTTGAATCAGATACACTGTATATTACCTGTCCACATTATTTATCACGGCGAGAGGGGGACAAAGGTGACCGACCGCTCCTACATTCGTCGTTCACAATCCCGCTGCACAGGAGATTCAGACAGGCCATAAGTGCTAGTTTGTCTGATGACCCTTTTTCCAGCTGGTGTTGTGGAATCAACAACCAACCCATAAGATCACAATTAAAGCTGGCTGAATTCGCCGATCTCGGAATGTCGCTACGCATCACTGATCGCAACGGTCACTTTCTCGCTCTTATTTATTCGTGCTTTGTTCCAGGTGTGAACCTTTGCGAACAAGATTTCCAAACCATCACGAAAGAGCTGCTGACACGCAACAGTATGGATTTTGTTACTCTAAATTTGCTTCTCATCACGGAGAGGTCAGATGAAGTTTACTTTTCTGGTTGTTTATAGTGCATGTTCCACCTGGGTTGGTCAAGCAGGGGATACGTAATCCAAGTAGATGTCTTTACCCATTCTCTTGGGATCAAGAACTTAGAAATTTGAACTGAGGACTCTGGTAGTGCTGCAGTGGTCGTCGCAAGAGTTGATCAGGACCGCGCTGCCCATAATAGTACTGCTGATTAGATACTCTTTTGTAATCGATCTTCAGCCCCCTTTTTAGTCCTAGCAGCTCAATTTCAGAGAGAGTTGTTATTTTGTATGCCAGCGGATTCTGAAGCATCATCGATTTGTGGATATACTAGGCTTCAGTTTCAGTGTCGAAGGTGAGTTGTCTAGTTTTCCTGACGTGTCGAATGGACTTTTCGGTACCTAACGCCCGTTGCGTATCGTGAAAATGAACTCTGGATTCTCCTACTACGAGCCACTTAACCGAAGATATACTTTCTCTTTCGGCATATCACAAAAGGCTGGAGGCCTTGTCTGATCGGTGTGGTGAGCATTGTTATAAACGTCGGATCGCAAGCCTTGCTTCTCAGTCGGGTTCCCGCCCACAGTCTTTGATGTGCCATGCGGATCCAGGTCTCAGTCAGTATTATCTGTCAGCTTTCCCTTACCTGGATAAGCGTCGCGATAGACAGAAGAGTTTAAGAGCAGCTTCATCCTTCTGTTAACCGGAAGTTCTCTTACTGTTATGTTGGTACATGAGTTCAATGGGTAGATTCGGAAACTGAGCGCATCAACCGCGTCTTGATAGTCGTGCTCTACTTTCCCAACAAACGGACCACAAACCGAAGCTTTTCATTGCGAGTGTATGTATATACCTCTGACAGCTTCAGTATAGTCGACGTGAGTGTCTTGGGTTGCGACTGACCACTCTTCCCTTACACCCCGCGAAACGTTCCCATGCGAACAAGTGTCTGCTAAGTAAGCCGCCCTCCAGTGACAAGGTGTTTTCACCACAAAGTGAGGACGAAAAGCCAAACATCCGGGACTATAACTGGGTTGACGAACTATTAGCAATTCACCTAGGGGAGGGAGTCCGCTAAAATTCCTAGTTCCAAATGAACTAATAAGAGGAGTACGAGCCGCACCTTCGTGGTTGTGGCAGTGGACACCAGGCGCGATTGGGTATCGAGGTGAGTTGTGCACCTTGAAAGCTCGACCCCGTCCGAAGAACATAAGCAGATGAACAGGACACCGATTCCCAATGGACTGTGGATTCTGGCTTTCTGGTCAAAAGCTTCGGGTGGGGACCCTGAGGTTTTTCTTCTGACATGCTTATGCAACCTATGAACACATCCTAAAGATTTTCTTGATATTTTTTGGCACATTTGCCAGTTCCGTGTAGTGGGTTACATGGATATACAGATATATATATCAGCCGCAAAGTAAAATTATGAAGTGCTTACTCATCAACAATCAACGAAATTTCGCAAGTGAAGACAGGCTACTTTTAAAATTCCTAGGGTCAACTGAAGGAATGAACACTAAACCAAAGGTTCCAGCAGTTGCCAAGTAACTAGAACATAGCAGTTTGCTCCGTAAAAGCATACTACACTGTTTCGCTGTACGACGATGATACTATGGAACCATTGCTTGATGCAATTTCAAGGAACATGAAGCCAGATCGCCCTTGAATTTGGCTAGCGAGCTGCTCTTTCCCAGGTGTCACAAAACGAAAACGTAGAAAGCTGATTCTACCCATCGGTTCTAGCTACTGATCTATGCACGCCGTAGGAAACGGCAAAATATAGAACGAAATGAGAAGTATTTATTATTCGAATAAGAAGCCTAGCAAACCTTTGAATATATGAAATTTCAACTGTTTATATATGTATAAAAATATATAGCAACAAGCATTGGGGAGGAATCTATCAGTGTGAAAAACAGTGAACAGACGTAACTACGCGCTTGGACCAATGCACACGACGGCCTGAGCGCTTCCGCGGTGGGTCAGATTTCATCGCTGGGACTACTTGAGGAGCGGAATTACTAAGGGTTCTTTTGTTAGATGGTAGAGTTGTTGTCTGTTTCATTGTATTAGTATCTGTGTGAGCATCATCAGCATGGTCCGACGATACTGCATCATGTTCTCTACCGCAGTCTACAACGAAAACACAATCGTCATCCTTTTTTGCGGTGTTAAAAGAGCCGTCATTTGTCTTCACAAGTGGTGTAAGATCACTGTCGGAGGGCAAAAACACCTGAGTGCATGTCTGAATATCCTTCGGTAATATATAGACGACCCGAGAGTTAGTCTGTGGCGTCTGTCTGTCACCTTCCGTACCTTTGGTGTCAGCATCACAAAGATTGGGAAATAAATCATCGTGTAAACGCAGTGACTGTCCGTATACAAGCTCAGCAGCGCAGGCTCCGAGGTCGGGATTGAATGAGTTTCGGGAGCGTAACATGAGCATAGGTAACGCTTCAATCCAATCTGCGGTGGATGAACTAGTCAGTGCTCTCAGCTGACGATGTAACCGTTCAATCGTCCCGTTGGCTGCATGATGATATGCAGGGTTTTTGGAGTGCTGAGTACCCAGCAGATTCAAAATACCCTTGAACGCCTGTGATTCGAACTGGGGGCTACCATCTGTCGTTACCTCGACGGGACAGCCAAACGAAGAAACCCAGCGTTCTATGAAAGCATGCGCTACGGTTTCTACCTGAATGTCCATCAGCGGTACTGCTTCTGCCCAACACGTACAACGGTCAAACACAGTCAGCAGGTACCGGTATCCTCTGCAAGGGTTCAATGGTCCAATAATGTACAAATGCACATGAGCGAAGCGAGTGCTCACCTCGGGGCAATCACTTCGAGAGGTCATCGAGCAGGGTGGAATGCAACAACGAGCCTTCGCATTGTATTTTTGGTGGTACCAGCAAACTTTTGCAGATGCAACAGGTTTATGCAGTGCGTTTTTCTTCTTTCTGCGAGACCGATTGCTGGATTCCAGTTGTTTGGCAGATGTGCATGGCTTCGATACAGATAACGCTCGGACCTGTTGCGCAATATCGTTGACCTTCGCCTCCAACGAAGAAACAAGATTGTCAGTGTTGCTGACACTCTCTGGCTGACATTTAGAATCATACCTTTCCATGATTCTATCGGCGACTTCCGCAAGAGCATTCAGCTTTACCTCCGTAGACACGCACAACATTGCTTGCACGTTGACGGGGAGACGACTAAGCCATATCTCCTTCAAAAAACTGTCTTCGTCTTCATCCTCGTCAATGAGTTGCTGCATTTGCCGCAACAATTGTGATGGCTTCTTTTCACCTAATTCGGTGTAACTGAGCAGCTTCTCGAGCCGTTGCTTAGCAGTTAGTCCAAATCGACGAATGATTGCTTCCTTGATCCTGAGGTACGGGTTAGGTTCATTCGAACGCACAACATCATACACTTCATCGAGAACGTTTGGAGGCAAAATCGCGACTACATGATGGAACTTGTTCAATTCAGATGTCACATTGCGTAGGGCAAGTGTTGCCTCTATTTGCACAAACCATAGTTTTGGATTGAATTCACGGAACGGAGCAAACGGGACGAAAAAAGTACTGACTTCTGAGGCCGAAGTACTGTGATCAGTCATAATACGAGGGCCTCTGGAAAAGCGATGGAATGAAAGTTGGTCCAAAGTCTATTTAATCTGCCAAAAAAATCTGTTGGGACCTAGAAATCAGATTTACGAACTTCAAGCTTACCAAATTGTAAAGTACGGATGCCAGCCGAGCTCCGAGTATGAAATACTCAATACCTGTCAGGTAACTGGAACCAGAATCTTTCGTGGCGACTTGAAAGGGTGAGTAGCACGAAAAAGACGTTGGTTAAATAGACTCTGAATTGAGCTGCTCACGTGCAGAACAGTTCGGAGTCGGCAGCGAAACTCCAAGTTTGCGGCTGGCAGCCACAAGGTACACCACGATCAGTATTTGTTATATGAATATCTGTGATGTATCGCCAAGGCTGTGTAGTCGATACACAAATGATGACACGACTGATCGCCTGAGGGCCTTTAGATATAATCTGCAAAATAAAGAAAGTAAATCAAACTGGATCGGAGGGTATTATTTATTTAGAAAACGTTCACTGCAACATTGAATATAAGATCCGACAGGCGAAACAAGCAGCTTTTTCGACAAATCCATCAATTGACCATTCGCATTTATACAAATGGAGCATTTAATATTGTTTGATCGAATGCGGGGTGCCAAAAGACCCAATATACGTCAACATTTCTATTGAACCTCTCCTTGGTTACGACATTCTTCTTCGCTCAAATCAGTTTGTTCCTTAGCCATGGTAGAGATAATGCACAAACGAAACGCTCCTAACTGCATAGTGTGCAGTACTGCCACAGTGAATGTTCTCATTATCTTTCGGCTTACCATTCGTGCACCACGTCTCTTTGTTTAGTTGGTGCGAAGCTATTGAAATTGCTGTATTGTCCTATCCAGGTTAGTTTCCTGTAGACCTTCCGGTGGATTGATTCGTTTGGGTTTCTGCGGATGAAGACAAGAAACTTGGTGCACTGGCTAGCGAAACGAGCACAGCGAATCTGCTCTCCGGATATCCCAATCGACGAAATCTTTTTTATTACACAATGTGAATCACAGTAAAATGGGAAATCCCTATGGACAAATAGCATATTGTAAAAGGGAGAGGAGAGGAACATTCACGCAAGATTCAGTTTATTGATTCTGCCTTTAAAAAGTGTGAGATTGTAAGTTTGGGGAAAACAGCAGGTGGGAAGGTTTTCCACAGTTTGGCAGTTCGGGGGGAAAAGATTAGGGCAGAGTTGCGACATCTGGGAATGGAAAATTGATAAGGATAACAAGATGTCTGTGTACGGGCTGGGCGGGTAAAAGTTGCAGGTAGAGGAACTGCCGAGGCAAGTTCCGAAGAACCAAAACCGAAGTAGTAGCGGCAGAACAGAGAATGAAGCAACTGCCCGACGATGGGCTAGCGACTGCAGACTGGATGTTAGAGAAGGATAATCGATTAGCCGGATGGCTTTTCGTTTGACACGATCAATAAGGGAAAGGGAAGAAGATGAACCCCCCCAAGTGACATTATTCAAGATCAAGGCAGATTTGAGCTTTGTACAAGAGATGAGCTGAGGTGAAAAAAGTCTGGCGCGAAATAAAAATCAAACCTTGCTCAGCACGAGAAACAAGCTTAGGTATAAAGGGGGACCAGCATAAAGAAGTCATAGGCAATCCAAGAAGGGAAACAGTCTGTGGAACGCAGTTAGGTGGAATTAAAAGATAAATGGGTGTATAATGAATGGTGTTTTAAAGAAATCAAAAGTAGAGAGGTTTTAGAACCATTGAGTGAAACATGGTTT